CCCCTCGTTCCCCAGGAAGTTCCAAATACTCATATCCTTTGCGCCCCACTTCCAGGGAGATGTGCTCAATCCTTTCATCTTCTGGCTTTATTTCCCCCACTTCCAGCACTAGAGCTTTGCCTTCTAGGTGGACATCATGGGCAGAGCTGCACTTTCCTCACCTCCCTACGCAGCTGTGAATAGGAGAAACCTGTATATAGCCTGGGACATTAGAGCCTGTGGGAACTTTCAAAGTGCCTAGCTCTTTTTAAAAATCAGAAGCAACCAACAAACAAAAGCAGATTCCCCTCCTCTTGGTGGGAGGGTGGGTTTTGAGTGTCAGGAACTTCTCATGGCTAGCTTCTTTTGTTGCCAGCAGATTGTGTTTCAGATTGTGAGTGTGCATCTGATCTCTCTCTCTCACGCCCACGGGCAACACCGCCCACCAGCCATCATCAGTTAATCAGTCATGTTTGTGACCCTGTCAAAGTGCTTTGTCACAATAATCCCAGCTGTCATGCTCTTGCTTTGATGTTAATACACCCAAATATTTTTGTCCCTTTCTCTTAAAGGGTAGGGATTTTAGCCTGTTGTCCCCATCTTTAAGGGACATTGCCAAGATTGATGTATAAACTTCTCATCTGGGCCCATTTAAGTTTCATTGATCTGTTTGATTAGTCCTGCTGATCCAAGTGTTGTTCCTGGGTGTGTTTGTTTTGTGAAACCAGCAATGGACACCCCAAAATGGAGCTGTGAGATACTTGATGGCTTCAGTTCTTAGGGTTTTTTGTTCACATGGGTTTGCACCCCTTTAAATTTCACTCTGAGGGCTTGTCTACACCACACAGCTTTAAAAGTCAGCGTGTGGAAATGCTCTTTTTCGGTACTTTGTCGGCACTTTTGCCGACAAAATACTTCCAGCCCCGTGAGCGGCGTTAGCATTGTCTGCAGGACAAAGCCACATTCACACTGCGACTTGCGTCGACAAAACTTTTGCCTTTTGCTGGGGGGCTTTTTTAAGTATCCGTAAAAGACAAAAGTTTTGTCGACAACTTTGCAGTGTAGACAAGCCCTCAGTTGCAGCTTTACATTAATCCCAACTTGAAAGCAAAACGTACAGGACTCCCTGGTTTTGCATCAAAACTTGTCATTTCACATGGTTTTGACAAAAGACAATAAACCTGCTGAAACTTGCTCAAAACTGGGCCCAGATTGGTCCTAGCGATTGAGATGAGATTAGATGCAGCACTGTATGACACAATACATTCTGACAAACCAGGCTTGAATTCTGAGTTCATAACAAAACCTGAAACCAAGCAAGTCCTGCATCTTTTCAGATGTTGCTCTGATGTTGGGCACAGCTCTGCTTGCAAAGCCAATCTGCTGGATTTAAAAAACAAAATAAATAATATGCGTTGGTTTTGAGCCACTTACAGCAAAACCAATCCACAGCTTTTGTTCACAATCCTATGCACAATTGAGCATTTTGCCAGTCCATGGAGACCCTGAACTCCTACTGCTGCTGTTTCTATCTGCTCTGTTCTGGAATTCAAGCAGAATGTGGAAATTGACAAGACTTCCAGCGCTCTGAATGAACTCTTCAGGGTGCAAAATTCTTGTCCGTTCCCCTTTTTTCTGCACAGAGCAGACAAACTCAGCAAGGCAAAGAGCCATGTCTATTAGGGTGACCAGATGTCCCGATTTTATAGGGACGGTCCTGATTTTTTGATCCTTTTTTTATATATGCTCCTATTACCCCCCCACACCTGTCCCGCTTTTTCACATTTGCTGTCTGGTCACCCTAATGTCTATGCACTGATGACTACACTAAGTCAGTCAAACGTTTGCCCTATTGGCCTCAAGAGACTGGTTTTTGTAGGACTTTCTGATAACACAGATGCTCTGGAATGCAATAGGGCTCTCCAGTTGCATGGAGCTTAAATGAGTTAAATTGTCAGAAAAGATGAGGGAGATTCTAAATGTCCCGTTGAAACACACGCAGCACAAAATCCTTCAGCACAAGTGAGAAGGCCAAACTGATCCATGGTGTCAATCCATCCCTCGTGCCACTGCAGGTTCCGTAGACCATCTGACCTCATTGGAAGGGCACCACTGATCTTAAAAACTGCTTTGAAATTAATCCCAAACGAGCAAGTCTCCCTCCAAAGAAATGAGACTTGCCAGGTCTGTGCAATGATTCATTAAACATTTTCGGAATTGGGGGACTGAATGGCCCAGGAGAGTGGTAATGGGATATAGTCTAGCCTTTAACTGCTGGGCTGCCTGTACAAATCCAGCCCAGGTCTCATAGCTAGCTGTTCAGTGGCCTCTGTGAAATGAGTTAATTGATTTGAGTCCTGTTCCCCCCAAAGAACAAAAAACCCATAAGTTAATCGTCATCA